AGACAAACTGCGGCGAAACGCCTCGGCAGAGGGTGTGCGCAAAACGCAGATTTATCAGGGTCTTGAGTGTGAGGTTCTCGTAGGTGTCCACGAAGTTAGTCAACAGAATGTCATCGAAGCGGTCGATTTCTGTCCTGAGCTGCTGAAGGATTGGTTCGTTGGAGGCCATCTCATGCGCCTCGCGCGGGAGACCCATACTGAAGATGAGACCAACGGGAAACGGCAGCTTGCTGATCTGGTTGTGCATGAACTCTCGGAGACGGCTCCGGGCGCGAAAGTTTTGGGTGGCGCTTTTAACGATCACCACAAACCGGTAGACCTCCGTACCGCGTTGGTCCTCGGTGCAAACACTTTTGCTGGTGTTGAGAACTGAGAGTTTTGGGTTATTTATGGGTTTCTGGTTCGTGCGAAAATGAACGTAGAATGAAAGTGTTACTTATTATAATGAGTAGATATAATTTATTGTAATTAAAATTGCTCTCTCAGCCAGACTTGATGTATTTGAACAACCTTATATGTACCAGTACATGAACTTTACCAAGGTGGGGGTCAGGTGTCAATTTAACAGTCATCAGAAATAACTATAGGTGAATGCCAAGGCGATAAAATAGGCGTTGTGTAAATGAAGACTAAAAAGCTGCTTCAAAAGTCGCGTTTTCACGTTTCTTGTGAACTTGACTGTCCACTTCAGTTACGAATCGGTTACTTAAAAATGAGGAATTCAATCAAAATGCGAGGGGGCGTTGCCGGCCTCCGAAATCCCTTTAAGAATTTTAAGTTGGTGTACAGAATGCCGATCAGGGCTAGGGCCGCAGGATGTGTGCGGGAAATCGTGACTCCGGTTATATTATTGTCTTCATAATAAAAATCCTTGAAGAGATGTGAGGGTTTTAAGCACAGAGCAGCTAGAAACTCATAAAGTGGCCTCTGTGAACATACAACGGCTGAGAGTTTCATTGATATACAATAGATGACGTAGTACATAAAATGCTGGTTGGAATTCTGAAATGCATGTTAGATTAGCAACAATTACTTAGTTGAGGTTTTAAAGTTGATCATAGTTGATTCCAAGTTATCTCAGCAACGCTTGAATGTCAGAACTTGGACGCCATGCTTTTCCGGGCACCACATTAGTTTATAAATGAGCTCTTAAGTAGTATTCCTTTTTCTACTTATTTTTCACTGTCTTTATGAATTCAGCTATATTTTCCAGAAAGGGCACGCAAAAATATGCCCTCGAGTTCATAGGAAATTATGTCTTCTTTAAATTTTATAGCTTTTGGTGTCAAAAAGAATTTGCAGTAATGTGATTTTTAAAACCCTGTAATGGCGTAGTATCAGCCTGATGTTTCAGTTTATTTTGTTTTATTTGGTGAGGGCAAATGGCAGTGCATTGTTTACACGCCGGTACGTGATATACACCTGTACACGTACTCTTAAACATTGTCACTATTAACATAGTATTTACAAACTATGAGTAGCATTGATTTTACAAATAACTCTTGTCTGGAGTTCGTGTGGTATTAGTTCGGGTTCAGACTGTCAAGGGACACACATAATTATCCTCATGAATGCTTACAACAGGTACGAAACCTGTTGTATACTTTACAAGAAGCGTTTAAGACTGCACGAGTGCACATTTTACGGTCCTAAAAATCTCATACTTAGCAATTTTTTAAACTCAAAAATACTCTTGTTCCAGCAGCAGATTCACAGAAGAGGCAACCTCCTACCTGTTTACGTTTTCTCTAAGATATACTTGATTGTAATAAGGCATCTAAAATCATTGGGGAATTGTTATACTTCTTAAGTAGTCATTTTGAGGGCAGCCGAAAGAAGTGCATTCAAAAGCCGGCATCCTGACGTGTCGGAAATATCTCAGAATTAGGCTACAAGATAAGTATTTCTATGATCCTACTTGAGAAGTTTTTTTTCTAATCTAAAGCACACTGTAAAATGTCAAAGTCCACCTGTTTCTCCAACGTTGGAGAAGCAGCTCGCAAATTGCAGACCAGCCTGCACGAGCAAAAACTAGCGGCTCAGAGACTAGACCCAAACTCTCAACTTGCAGCACACGTCGCAGAGACTGGCCATGACTTCGACCTTCAAGGAGCGACCATCGTAGGCCGAGGAACCTCAAAAGCAGAAAGGCTGACGCTTGAGACATGGTACTCAGATACCAACTCTGTCAACAGGCATCTAGACCTTCCCCGCGGCCTACAAAGTCTTGCGCCATTATGTGGAAAAAAGACAGAACACAGCCAAACCAAACGTAGGAATGGCAAGCGAAGAGGACCCCACAACGAACCGGCCGGAAGAGGAGGCAAGGTTGCCAGGACCCTCTACCGGGTGACAAGACGCCACACTAATTGTTGTTCATGACGCCCTACTCCACTGACAGCTAGTTACCCTCCTCCTCCATCCTTTTTGAT